AGGATATTAATTAAAGATCATGTTCCATGAAGATATTTTGTAAATTTCCTACTGTAAATATATTACAACTTAATTTTTGATTAATTAATAATAATATAATAATGCATTTTATTTAAAGGCGCCTTTCAGAGCACTCAAGGGCACCGGTGATAATCATGATAATCATAAAATCAAGACAACAATACAACAAACAAAAACTATTGACATTAAATAATTTCAGAGAAAGCAGAGAAAGCTAATTTAAACAAGTAAGTTTTAAGACATGATTTAAAAGTAGTCAGACAGTCACTTTCTCGTATAGATTGCTTACATATACCTAAACCTACCCGTCTCCACACCCTGATCCCTAAACCCACCCATCTCCACCCCTAAACCTACCATCTCCACCCCCTAGATGTGGATCCAACCCCGCCCCCTGGATCTTTGTTCTGCAGTGAGGGGCTACTGGCCCATAGTGGCTAAACGAACAGAAGGTACAATAAGGGAAACAGATAAAGAAGATCTGAGAGTACGCTTCGGGATGTAAATATGAAGCAAATCAGAGAGATATGGTGGTGCAAAATTATGAAGAGCTTTAAATGTGAGAAGTTGAATCTTGTACTCTACTCAATATTTAACAGGAAGCCAGTGAAGATGGTAGAGAACTGGAGTGATATGCTCGATGGAGGAGGTTCTAGTAATTATACGGGCAGCTGAATTCTGGACCAATTGAAGTTTATGAAAGAGTTTGTAAGAAAGCCCAAAGAGAAGAGATGCTTTTCAAAAGATAAAGTACTATCGAGGATGACACCCAGACTTTTAACCTGAGTAGATGGGGAGATTATAGAGTTATCAACAGAAAGTGAAAAACTATTGGATTTTGACTAATTAGATTTGGTACCAACAAGGAGAACTTCTGTTTTGTCAATATTCAGCTTGAGAAAGTTACGCGAAAACCAGGATTTAATCTCTTCTAAGCAACCCAAAAGAGAGGAAGAAAGAAGGGTAGAATTTAGCTTAGAAGACAAATAAAGCTGGGTGTCGTCGGCATAGCAATGAAAACTGATGCCATATTTCCTAAAAATGTAACCAAGGGGTAGTAAATAAATAATAAATAAAAGAGGGCCCAAAACAGAGCCTTGAGGAACACCAGCTGTAACAGGTGAAACGTATGACCTGAAATTTTTAAGCTGAACAAATTGAGTGCGCCCAGAGAGATAAGATCTGAACCAACTAAGAGGGACACCATTAATACCTATAGAGATTAGTCTATTTAAGAGAACTTGATGAGAAATTGTATATCAAAGGCCGTGATTAAATCGAGTAGAATAAATACTTAAAAGTCCAGAATCAGCTGACATCAGCAGATCATTAACAACTTTTACCATGACAGTCTCTGTACTATGCAAAGGGCGGAAACCGGATTGGAATTTTTCAAACAGGCTATTTTTTAAAAGATGGGAATGAACCTGAGATGCAACAACTTTTTCCAAAATTTTTGAGAGAAAGAGCAAATTGGAAATTTGGCGAAAGTTAGAAAAATTACTAGGGTCAGCTCCCTGTTTCTTAAGTCTTGGAGTGATTACAGCAACCTTAAAAGATGAAGGAACCACACCAGAGGTGAGAGACGAGTGTAAAATATCGGTTACTATACCAGATAGAGAAACTAAACAGGCTTTGTCCAGGTGAGTGGGGAGTGGATCTAACTGACAAGTGGAAGACTTAGATTGTTTGATAAGGCCTGATATTCGAACTTCCAATAGTTGGAAGTTCGAAACTGTAAAATAGAGACAGAAGAGAATCACGGGAAGGTAAATACAACAGATCAGATGCCACATTATTTTGAGAAGTTAATTGTTGATGAATATTTCCAATTTTAGTATTAAAAAATGTCATTAATTTATCAAATAGATCACTAGAATATAGATGAGAAGGTAGGGTATTAGGAGGTAGTAGGATATTATTTACTGTATTAAACAAGGACCTTGTATTCCCTTCATCTAACCCAATAATATTAGAGTAGTAATCAGATTTAGCGGTTAGAAGAGCATTCTTGTAAGAGAGCATATGATCTGTGTACATATC